AGGGGTGTGTATTCAGTTTTTATTCTTCTTTATTGCTTTGTATTCCCATTAAATTAAGAGATGCATAAAAAAATCTTGAATTATAGCCTATATCACTCTCGAATGTGAACGAAAGAACGAGAGAAGGAGAGAGAGAAGAAAGAATATTTAAATAGTAATACATAAAGATCTATACACTGATTATAGTATAGATAAGAGTTTGGTAAGAATTTTTGTAAGATCGTTATAAACAAGAAAAGGTGTCTAGTAGAGCTTTTAAACTTAATGTTTATTATTTTGACTTTCTTTAGTTTTTTTCAATATAAATATGATTTTTCAAAAGATTTTCTTAATTCCTTATTACGGAGCATAGCAGTACTACATGCGTATGTGTTTATTATTTTTAGACATTTTAGAGAAACGGTTTTGATATATATCCACGCAAAACTTAACCGAGGCGATCTTATAACGTATTGTGATAAAATGATATTTTTTCGTAATATAGGTTTTTTTTTACAATTGAGAAGGGTCGTCCGATCAGATAAAATTTCTATGGAATGAGGTCAGCCTTTTACAGATAGCTTTATTTGATGTCCGTAACATCGACATTATAAGTAAATTTAAAAATATATTCGAAGAAACATTTTCAGTTTTCGATATTCATCAATTCCCATGAACTTTGCGGATCGCTATTGTAGAGTCGCTATAAACTTAGAGTCTGCGTGTCCAGGGTTGACCACTAGCGAATCATGTATCTAGTACTTGAGAAATTTCTCAGTTTGGTTACGTCGCATAGTTCAGTATATCAGTAATAGGAACGACTCGGCTATACCTATAGGCAAACGCCGAGGGCGCTCGTATTTGGAGGGCGGCATGGCACGGCAAACAGATCATGTTTGCTCTAATTATTTAAACTATAAAAAGGCAGTACCTTAAAAAATATTTGTTCTGTTACTCATCTACATCATCATCATCATCATCACCAGCCCTTTTACGTCCCCACTGCAGGGGCTCAGGCCTTCCTTATGGATGGTTAAGGAGTTTTTTGTAATTGGCAAAATTACACGCTTTAATCGCTGTATCTACATTGGTCATCCATTTTGTTGTGTTTTTTTTTCTATGGGCGTCACACCAATGTTTTGTCTAGGGCGCCAAATTATTATAGAGCCGGCACTGAATAGTAATAATTCGTATTACCCCGTAGTTCAGTAGCTCAGACGAAATAACATCTGGATAGCTAGAGGTCACTGGTTTGGATCCAACTTGAGGGATGGGAGATATCTGTAACCTATGTCATAAGGTAATCTTCAGTCCAGCTCGGCGATGGCGATTTATGTGCCTCATTATGATTGGTCGGTTATTAGCTGTCGTTGGTTTATCGACAAATTAACCTCCCGAAATGATCCATTCTCAGTATTCCGACCCTTTCGATAAATGTAGGTCATATAAGGTACGGTTTATGTCTGGAACGTAATAATCCGACCATTATTAGTCTCCACAAATTGAATATCGATAAAGTTATTAACCAATAAAAATGATTTTTTAAATTATAAGTTGATGTTATTACGAAAAAAAGTAAATGTTATTTTTTAAATGTGTTCCTTTACATAATTATGTAATATGATATTTTTAATAACTGTAGCATAACATTTGGAGTATTCTTGTGACGACCTAAATAAATGAGGTCGTACGTCGTCGGTTCTCATTGTCAATAGACCCATCTGTTTTTAATATAAGTCTCCAATTTCTGATTATTTGATTTTTGATATGTATTTCAGGCTTACATAAAATGCTTGAGAGTATTCTAAGGCATCATCCTTAAACGATCGAACGGTAATAATATCCTAATTGATTCGATAAGTGTTCTCATATAACGATCTTATAAATTGAAAAAGGAAATCAGATCAAATTTAGTCATTCGTGATAAAATTAAAACCTTTTAAATAGCAGATTTTATACCGGTATATAGATTAAATCTAGAACCTAAAAATATCTATTTAATCTATCCATCTTTTTTAGTTTTCTTGTTTTATTTAAATTCAAATAAATGTCCAGTGAGGCTTTTGTTTAAAAAAATCTAATAGAGAAAGTTTCTTGAAATAAAAATGGTAATGGAATTCGTGAACAAGAAAAAGATCTCTTCTTTTTTTTACTTACACAAAATGGCTCTTTTAGTTTCTGTCTATTCTTAGCTGATTTATACATGTCCATACTCTGGAGAATTTTATAAAAAAAGATACTCGTAGTTTGTGATTAATTCATTAAAAACCGTCTCTGACACGCAATTCTCTATCCTATCGATATCATTATTCTAGGCCATAGTTTCTCTAACTTTTAGTTTCACGATACCCATTATAAGATTCCCGATGTTACTAGATGTTAGATTTAACTAACAAATTAACCCTCCCCCAATAAAAATGGAATAGGTCGTTGAAGAAAATAAGTTTTCTATTTAAATAAAACGTAACAAATAATTGCATTTAATATTAATGTGATCGGCTTTATTTTTTGAGACATATTGAGTCGCATTGCTAGAAGTAATATAGACAATTCCAGGTTGTATCGTCAAGTGATTGAGCCACCATAACGGATATCTTGCCCCCAAACTTCAAATGGCGAACACCTAGTTAACTTTGAGAAGCTACTGTTCTAGGCAACAGGCACAGTCTTTCGGTTTTGCATCCACTCAAAGTCCTTTTGGATGTTTAATTTAAAGCAATACATTTCTATTACTAAAGTGTGGGCGGTAAAATAATAATTTCAGACGTATCTCCTTATATTGACAAAATTTGAATAATTTTAAAGAGCACTTTCTAGTATTAGCACTGAGAACTAAGTAACAAATACATTACTTGTGTCTTTCGAGAAATAGGTCTATGAAATACTTGCAGACTCTTCGAGATTTCCGTTTCGTCAATGTATAAGTTACTTAAATTAACTTAAACTTTAAAGGGTTAAGCGTTTCGAAGTTGCGAATAGAATTTAATAATGAAAAGTATATTTTCTTAAACAGTAACTGTTTTATCTATTTTTAAGATTCAGAGACATATAAATATACCTTACTTTCGTTTTAAAAATAAAAAATAAAGGCCGTCCGTTTAAAAAAAACAAACAACTCTCAATTCCGCACCAAAAAATGCAAATTAATTAGAGAAACATGAAATATATCAAAAAATATGTGCTGTCTTATACATTCATGTAATAAGTAAAAATCTAAAAATAATTTTAATTTTTAATTTCCGCGAAAATGCCACTTCTGTCGTGGCGTTGCTATGACGTCACGGTACTCTGAAACGAATATCGTTCTATATATGAATAAGGTTGAATCCTCAAAGTTCGATAGGAGTAAGAAGGGCGTAACTTCAATACTTTAGTATACGCAAAAATATAAAAACACTATTTCTAAATTTTTATAACCAAGAAATCAAACTAATATAATAAATGTTTTGCGGTCCCTATTAATTTTAAAACCAAGATACCATTTCGTGATATAAGTATTAGCAAATAAATATCATGAAAAGGGTATGGATTGTATACTGTTTACATGAAACAATATTGCTTACAATTTTAAAGTGTAAAGACACACTGTCTCAAGTGAAATACTCAATCAATCAATCGTCAACATGCGTACAATAAATTATAGTATCAACTGTCATTCAATACGGGATAACACTAATATTTATGACACACTATTCTGATAGCGCTGATGTCCTGTCATAAAAGTATCCAATTAAAACTCATTTGTTTGGTTTCAAATTCATTGTTTTCAGTATTTTATTACCCAATTAAAGTGTATTGGATAGGCAGTTAAATTACACATGAGGACATTATATAATCTAAGCTTTAGAGAATAAGGGCTCAGGCCTTCCTTATAGATGGTTAAGGAGGATGGGCCATGACCCTCCACGCTGGCCAAATGCGGATTGGAGGGTATTAACGACTGCAAATGCAGCCTGGACCAACGGCTTAACGTGCCTTCCGAAGCACGGAGTAGCTCGAGATAATAATTTTTTGGTCACCCATCCCGTGACCGACCCTTGCGAAAGTTGCTTCACGACAACGATCGCGGGCCGCGGCGCTTATCCACTACCCCACCGAGCTACTTTGCAATTGGATAGTTATTGTGTAAAGTATGATAAACCCTTATCACTACATAGTATAAAACAAAATCGCTTTCTCTGTCTCTATACTTAAATATTTAAAACTACGCAACGGATTTTGATGCCATTTTTTTTTATAGATAGGGTGATTCAAAAGGAAGTTTTCTATGTATAATACAAGACAACGCGAGCGAAGCCGCTGGCGGAAAGCTAGTATATTTATTAAAGGGTTTCATTGTTATTGAAGTGTAGACTGTACACTTCCAAACTTGGCATATTATTTATTGTTTTATGATGGCATATATATAAATAAGCAATAAGTTTTTTTGTGGCTACGCCTTTTCTTTTTGAATTACCTCCATTAGCGAGGTAGGTCCGCAGGGGAACCTCGGTAACGTGCGCTGGGAAGGCGGGACATGCGTAATGCCTTCTTTAGTAAAATAAAGGCAGTTGGTGCTTTAGTTAGTTTATTTTTGCTGCTTTACTTTAGATTGGCTTTCATAATTTTCTTAAAGCAAGTACTGAAATGTTTTCTCCTTTATTTTAGTTATTTTAATAACGGTTCAAATCGGTTCAAATGGGTGATTTCTTATGAAAGATAAAATAAACTAAGGATAATTAAGTAATGTAAAGAAAGTTCCCTGTTGATGTTAAATTAACGTACTTATTACTAGTACGAATTAACATGACATTATGTATTAGGGGTTTTATTATTCCATTGAATCTCATAATAGCATATTTACAGTTAACGTAATAGTTTGCAAATAATTAATTAAAAACAGTTTTCCACGCGCAATTCGCCCTCTTGTGTCCCTCTCTATCTCATCACCTGGTGCAATAAGAAACAATCTCTCGGCTACACACTCCTGTTAAGAATGCTAAAGTATTCATGCATCTAATAGATACTTCTCTTTGTTTCAGGCCTTCAAGCTGTTCAAGCGCAGTCGGTCGCACAAAAACAACCGCAACCGCATATCACCAGCTTTAGTCCGTCTACCATCATACAGCGGTACAGTAGACGCACGTTCAGAAATAGACCTGCAGCGGTTTTGCGCTTGCCGCGCTTCGCTACCGCCGCTACGTTTAGCGCAAGACTGCGACTCTGCCTCCTATCACAGCGGTTACAATAGCTACAGTTCTCGCAATGAATCAGAGAACGATTCAAATTTCGATGGTGCACGTTCTGATTCAGCTTACGATTCGGCGAGAAGTAGTCCGTCGCAGCAGAGGGCGCCAGTGTGCTACGCCACTGTCACGTACTTCAACGTCAATGATAGTGAAGACAGCAGCAGTATCAGAACAGAATACACGCTGTTAGATTACGAAGTGGATGCTGAACATGAGGACGAATTAACGCAAAACATGATAAATGAGAATATAGAACTTGTCAGTACATTATGAACTGTTTGCTGGGAGTGATGGGAGGTGACGCAAATTCCGCTAGAGATTTACGGGAAATTTTCAATTCAAACATCTATGCTGTCTGATTCGAATCACATTTTCGAATTTGTGTAACAATATTAGAAATATATTGTTGTAACATCAAAGCATATAAAACCGTAAATGTCACATGGTCGTGTTAAAGATAGAAAGCGCAAATTAATAACTAAATTATTTATTCAATGAAATTTAATATATCGAGCTTGCATTGTTAATTAAAAATAATCAATCACAATTGATAAATTATGTTGCTTTCAGACTTTCCATAATAATTTAATAATCAATCAATGTAATAAAGATTTGTTTTCTAAAATCGAAGCTATTTAAAAATGACCTCTGTTATCATCAAAAAATATGTAAATGTTTCTTGTAAATCTTTAAGCGGAGTTTATGTGCTATAAGGTTTACCAAAGTGAATGTGATAAAGAGGCGTGGGTATTTATTGTAGTTAGCATAGTTAGATGTTTATGTCTGTTGATCTCAAACAAATGAATTTTATTAGAGTATAAGTTACAAAAAATACGTACTACGTGTTAATCACAATCGCATGCAACGATATTAAAAAAAAACATTTTATGTTTATATTTCTTTAGTAGTGTTAATGAGTTTTTAAACCAACGAAAAGAGAAACAACGCATTTTTTGTAATAAGGCTTACAAACTATTTTGTTAGACGACTTCAAAATCGAAAAGGAGGTTACATGTTCGACGGTGATGTGTGTTTTTAAATAAATGAAGCAACAATTATTTAAAAATGGAACGGTCTATAAAAAGAAATAAGATGTTTTTGCTGCAGAGGTATTCTGTTTTAAAATTGCTACCGACTAATGTTGAGCACAACGCCGTGACAGAATAGAGCTTCAATAATATAGGAACTTCAGTACCTTTATAAAGCAAGTGTTTACTTAACACTGATACCTCTGTGCTATGACAATGCTGCCCTCGATGTCTAATGACCAGAGGTCGGACTTAGGTAAATGTTGATATGAATGTGGACCTTCCCGGGATTTCTAATGGACAATTTCTAATTCTTTGGACATCCGATGTCATTGATGTAAGTTTGGCAACGTCGTGCGTGCAGTAGTTTAAATTGTGTAAAAGTAAATAACTTTTTATTTAAAAAATCACGGAATTTTTTCTGCTCTTTAAAATTAATCTCGGGATTTGAGGCATATCCACTTTATTATTTCGCTGTATGAAATCAGTGTAAGTACATGAATAACTCTACCTAATTCCGACCACTGCTAATGACCTATGTAGATATAAGTGTTGTGTAGTTATACAGTGTTTTGTCTTTTTCACACAAATTGGAATGACATGGATAGAATTACTACACAATACTAAATATTACTAAACAGCTGTTATAAGATTCTTATTAGTAAGGGTCTTAGTCTAAAATTTAATTTAAATTGCAAACTGCATCTTTTTCTGTGTACATTTCAGAATATTAATCTCTTCAAATGCTTGATGTGATATCAAAGTTCAATTGAAAAAAAAACCGCGATGCATTCAATCGATTTCGAGACAAAGGCGTAATATTGTTCAACCGTTTTGAAATAAACAATCTTCATTGTGACGTATATATGTAATATTTGTCGGATTAACAGGGGATAGGTTAATTTTAGATACCTCTATTATATAGATGTTTCTATTTTAATCAGTGAAATGTTAATGTAGGGTGATTGATTACTGGTTTCTAGAGTACAGGAATTCTAAGCTGCATTATAATTTCAGCATGCCTTCTATATAACTTTATAGTTGTAATGTAGTAACATACAGCAGCATAATATGTTACTATAAATTACAATTATTGATAAAACATCAGTTTTGCATAATTGGTTATGATCTTAAATGTTATTATATTAAGGATTAAAATTAATTGTCGACAGTTGGATGATCTGATGTGATCACAAGAGTCTGGTCGATTAGACTAATGGTTAATACTATCATATCACATCAAATACTAAATGAATTATTGTAATATTATCTTTTTTTTTAGTTGTTTGGTGATTTGAACTTTTTTATAATTATAGTCCGAGATTGGCATGATTCGCTTTCTTGTAATAATTGAATTATTTGCAGATTTATTTGTTTCTAAGCCAAAAACTTTAACGCTGTCCATTAAATCTAATTTTGAATAACTCTAATTAGTATTTAAGCTTTGATGTAATTATTCATATTGAATAAATATTATACTATCTTATATTTTATTGAATTTGTTTTTTTTAATAGTTATTTACCTTAATCGAAATCTGATTATTCCTAAATAATTTAGAGATATTGTTTGTGAAACATAGATATAAAGGAAAAAAACAAAAGTAAAATCTTTTTAATAATCCACCAGAGATGCAACTGCTAATCGTTCTAGCCATAATTTTACCGTTGTTATTTCAATATTACGTCTCATTTTTCTAATTCAACATATCTTTTAGAGGATAAACCACTAACACCCAGTCGCATAAACTTTAATTAATGTTTAATGACGTCATTAGCTCTAAGGACTAAAAGTTTGCATCCATAATGTCGCTTTATACTAATTAGAATTTTAATGGATTAGATGTTTGTGTCCGACTGTTGCTGAGTGAGAGTTGCTGTAAGTTGCTGTCAAATACATAATGATCATTCCGTATCATTTGTTCTTCGTCAAAGTAGTTAAGTTGAAAGAAATATCGCTATAATGTCGCTATGATGTCGTAAATATGACTAGAAAGTTAGACGGTAACATCCCTTATCTAGAATAGTATCAAGATAAATGAAAGTATTGGATATAAATACTTACATAGAAAAGAAAATAAGTATTATCTTAAGCAAGGGATAGCAAGGTATCGGAATGACACATCCAATATTAAATATTGATACTTGTCAAACCCTTACCGTTTTAGCGCAAAGAAAAAGCAATTTCAAGTAGGTAAATCACCTTTATAAAAGAGGCTTTATATAAAAACCTAAAATATGTTAGAGACACAAATAAGAAATAAGATAACATTTTTAAAAGAAAATAGGCAAGAAAGGGGTTATATTTTTAAACCACTTTCTTGCTTAATGTGAGGTGCAACACTGATCACAAAATACTCATCAATAACAGTGACAAAAGGCAAAAAGGCTGTGGCCAGTATAATAAGATCTTATATAATTTAAAATAAAAAAGTTTATACGACACGTTTATACGATATAACGAACGAATGAAATAGAGGATATTAGTGTGAAAGTAAATTTTCGACTTTCATAGGCATGTAAACGTGTCAGTATCTAAAATGACGATATCACCTCAACACCCACACCCTAGAAGATTCGAAAATTTTGTTATTTCATATTGATCGGGATGGCCAACGTTACGCGTTAGCCATCCCGATCAATATGGAATAACTATAGAACTTCGTGTTCCGGCGTTAAAATGTTGGACAGACGAATCAGGATTGCTATGAACAATCCTATGCGAATTTTGATTGGTCCGTCCAACACTAGACGATTAGGTTCTTGACAGATATAATAAATAATATTGGAAATTGTAACTTATATGTAAGCAATAACTGTGTAGTATATTATAGTTTACAATAAATTGTAAGTGTATTTTATTTTTGCAAAATGATATGCGATTTATAATCCGTGGTTTTTGAGAACCGAAACGTGGGCGGCCATGACGGAACATCGTGTGACGTGATATTTTAATAAACGAAACGTCAACTAGTGCTCATGTTTATTGTAATGTGACGTCACGGTACGAAATGTCACGTGACCGACGTTTTTACTTTATTTAACAGTTTTTAGAGAAAAATAAATCTGACAGTGATTTAATAGCAGAAATTATGAAATATACTTTTCCAAAACAGACAAGTAGCCGATTCTGATTGGTCTGTCCAACGCTTGAAAGCTGAAACACGACGATATGAGCTACAAGGTTAGTGACTTCGGAGACGGTAACACGATGAAATGGCTTGCAAGCCACACGAACTCGAACAGGGGGTTGTAAAGTATATTTTTCTATATAATACCATGAACCGGTCAGCGTCGAACGTATTGCAATTATTATATTTTATTGTACCCAACAATAGCAGTTTAGGGTTGAGTTGGTTTGTATTCGAGTACAGAGCGAACAGGTTTCCTTTCAGAATCACTCAGGTGATAGAGAAAATAATGATAAAAATGTTCTGTTGTTAGCACTTTTATGTTCAGACGTGTTTTATGCATTGTTAATGAGCTTCGAAACAATATAACTTCAAACAAAATAAGAAAATAATACTAAGAAGTTGTGTATACACATAATACATAATAAATGAAAAATAACCTCCCCTTTAAATAACGCAATTTCAACGCAGGCGTGTCATCAAAAACGAATAATAAAACGAGAAAATTGCGTTACCAATTCGCTATGACTTGGTTCGTCAGGTTTTGTAAAATAAACAATTTTTGTATTTAAGAACGCAGTGCTCAAAATCGTGTTGTGTGAACTCTACCCTTAATGTGGTAATGCTTCAAATAAAGTGGAGAAATTGAATGGGAATCTACGTCATCATTTACTTTAACGCTATATCAGTCTACATTAATAAATCTTAAGAATTTGAATTTAACATATTACAGTTTTTGACAGTACAAGACGTTAAGTACCCAAGTTATTTTATAGTTTTACAGTCTTTATTTTTTTATTTTTTTTATTTTATATTTTTTTTTTATTTATTGTCAATAGGTAATATTTCACAATTTATAAAATACATTTCCAAGCACATTACAAACCACTAAGATTTTAATCTATGTGCCATAGTTCGCTATATATATATAAGTATTACAATATTATTTGGTCGTTGCGGTCCAGCATACACAGAAGTAGCGTTTTTAATTTGTTTTTTATATTTTTTTCGTTAAGTGAGTCTCGAAACTCTTTATCTAATTTATTTATGATTCGGGGTAATAAGTATTTCACAGTGCGAGTGCCATATGTGTTCTGCGCACTTGTTATTACTAGTT